CCCCCCCCCTTCCCCCTTCCCCCCGGCCAGGCTCTTGGGGAATGGAGCTGAGACCCCGCCTTCCTCTCTGACCACCGACAGAAACCGACTTTTCTCACTGACCTTCTAAGTTGTCTTTGGCATTTGTGGATTGAGGAGTCTGGAAACCTCCACAGCTGCCCGCGATTCAGTCCTCTGAGGCCTGCTCCAGGTTTGCTGCGGCCTGCGCGCCCACGCTGCTTTGCGCTCCCAGCCTGGCAGGATACACCTTTCTGATCAATCATCCAGGTTGTCTTGGGCTGGAAATTTGTTTCACTCTGTCTTTTTGTGGGTTCTGCTGCTTCAGAATTTGTTTAGAGCCATTTTTTATGAGTATTTGGAGGGGTTTGGGGGAGAGCTCAAGCAAGTCACTGCTTTCACTCCGCCCATCTTGGCTCCGCCGGGACCTTTTCCCTCATTTAAAAAAAATCATTCAGTGTGAACTAATATGATATAACATAAGAAGTCTATTGAACATTAAATTGATCACTTTTAATATATTTTTAACCATGAAAACATCACAATGTTAACTTATCAGTAGCTCCCTCTAAAAATTAGGCATCTGCTAAGGTATCTCCAAAAGTCTCATGATGGAAAATGCCGTCCACATCCGGAGAAAGAACGATGGAGTTTGAAGGCAGATCGAAGCATACTATTTGCTCTTTTTTTCCTTCTGTTTTGTTTTGTTTCCTCTTTCCACATGGTTCCTCCTATTGGTTCTGATTCTTATTTACAACATGACTAATGTGAAAGTATGTTTAATAGGAATGTGTATGCATAGCCTGTATCAGATTGGGCACCATCTTGGGGAGGGAGGAGGAGAAAATTTAAAACTGAAAAGCTTATGGAAGTGAATGGTCAAGACTAAAAATAAATTATTAGAAAAAATAAAAATTGGCATTTGTGTGGAACATATAGTGCTTAAGAAGTAGGCAATAGTGGGGAAGCTGGCATAGTGTCAGGCTGGGCCCAGGGGTAGGAGTGAGAAGGGACAGCCATGCCTGGCAAGGGGGAGACAGTAGGTAAGAGCAGGCGAGTAACTCTTGTACCACACAGACCACATGCTTCCAATACTGGGTATTCATGAGGTCATTAAGAAAAATGCTGATTGATGTTTGGTTTCTTCTAGTTAATACTAGAAGGGACGGAAGTTAAAAATACCTCAAAATTACATCAACAGTGCATTTAAAAAAAATCCATTAAAGCAAGGAAAATTGAGATATTAAGATGAAAATTTTTTATTTTCAAATAAAATTACAATATTTTTGCATCTATAGACACGCCTGGTTTCTCTGTTGTTAAGAAGGCAAGGATGTGTAGAGTGTATGAGGACACAAGAAAGGGCAGGGAGAACACTTGCCCAAATTACAGCAAATAAATGTAGGCTTGCTAATCAGTCAGAAGATGCCAGGAAGTACCTACACCCCTTTCCCTTCTCCCTTTGCCTCTTAATTAACTTGATTATCATGGGGGGTGGGGAGAGGGGGTGGAGGAAAGTCCTTTGTTAGCCCTTGTTTCTTAGCTCTTGCTTTAGCTTGCTTCCAACAACTTCACTTGAGGTTTTTAAAAGAGTTCCCCCCCGTAATGCACTGTGCCTTTTCATAGTGATAAAAATTTCTTTCCTCTCTCCCTATCAAAGGAAGCCTAGCCTAGGGGATGCAGTGCTAGTGAGCCAGGATGCCCCAGGGGTTAAAGGAATCGTGCCTTTGCCACCATCTCTCAGTCCATTGAATGGGATTTTGAGTCTTCCCTTGGGCCCAGCGAGTCATCCAAAGAGGATGTCTGTGTTTGGACTTGCTGAGACATCTCTCTCCATGCATGGTTATAATCATGGTTGCTCTCTCCAGGGATAGAGCGAGAGCACAATCAGTTGGTGGGAGAAGCACTTCAGACAATGATTATTAATCCAGAAGGTGCAGTTTTCCCCTTACGCCCTCTAGAGGAGCATCGTGGTGGGTTGGTTAGGGTTTTGTCTGAGAGTTGTTCTGCACATAGCCCTGGAGCACAGCTTGTTCCTGAGCACGTGGCGGAAAACAGACTGAACTTTTCAAAGGGCGATAGTGGCTGGCCTGCAAAAGGAAGTCTATAGTAAGATTTCATGAATTCATTGAAATGTGGTTTACTCGAGGCAAAGCCAGGAGAGGCACAAGGTTGCTTTGCCTGTCTGTGAAAAAAGCATCGGCTTAGCTTTCAGGCCTTTAAATCAGAAAAAATGGGGTCTTGTTTGACTTTGTTGGAAGAGGGAACAAACTTTTTAATCCCTTGAGCACATCAATTGTTTCTATGTAGGTAGATGCCAGATTAGCTCTATCTCTTCACTTAGGCCAGGCCGGGCTCCTTTTATGAGTAGCTGGAGCTGATGTTGCAGCTTTGGAGACAATCGCACCCTTGCCTCTGCCATACTAAGCAGAGAAAAGGGCATGTCCGTTTCTAGGTCAGGAGGGCTTGGGAGGGTGTTCTAAAGGTGTGGCCCTTTGACTGAATCTAAACTTTACAGAAAGGATCTCCTTAACAAAGGGATTGGTTCTGTAAAACTTGGGCTCAGTCCGAAGGCCAAACCCAAGGACCTAGAAGGCCACATGTGACCTCCAGGCCGCAGGTTCCCCCCCGCCCCGGGACTGTGGCCCATCATAAATACTTAATAAATGCTTGTTGATTTGATTCGCTGTATTTGGATGGAGTGAATCTCAGAGGAGATGACAGCAGAGGGAGGCTCAGAAAGGGACCATAGGGAGCAGGGAGTATTCGTGCTTGCTGATCACCAAGTCAGGTGTGGAGCAGGCTGTTGCAGCAGAGAGCTGCAAGTACTGGGAAGTTCCCTAAATCCAGCATATTCTCCACCTCGTAAGTTCTGGGTTCTGCTTGTGTGTCTCCACTGTCCATTCAAGGCATCTGTACTGGACAGGGAGAGTGTGTGTGTGTTCAGGGAGGACTGGCACCTCTGGTGGGAGGGCTGCCCGTTCCCCTTTGGTGGTGACCTGGCAGTCCGAGCTCACTGGGCCTCCAAGGAGCTTTAGTGACCGTAGCAGCCACATCCCAGTAAATCCCCTTTGTACCTGGGCTCAAGCCAGGCTGAGAGTGACCTGTAGATCTCAGAGCCATCTTTACATTGCAAGATTGTCAGAACACATTCTCAGGTTGCTTTCATTCAATTTGGGGGAAAAAAAATTTAAGTGACCATAGCTTGAAGACTTTGAATCCATTTGGTTTGAAGTATTTAAGTTTACTTTGACTTTCTGTGGACAAGAGAGGTCCTGGTGTGGCTGGGGAGCTCTTGTGGTCTGAGGAGGACCTCACAGGGCGTGCAGGTATTGGCAGGCTTTGTGTTCTGTCGAGCTGGGGTCTTTGCTGCCGTCCCACCCAAAGTCAGAAGGCATCAATCCATCCACTCAACTACTCCGCACTGGCACAACTAGGGAATTCCTGGTCACTGGAGTGCAGCAAAGCTAGCCCTAGGTTGCCAGGGGTGTTAGTGTGAGCTGGCCCTGGGGTAAAACAGTGCACAAGACTGGATTGGAAAGGTTTTCTGTAGCACAGTGTACATGTTGCACAAGGTTCTACAGATGAATGGCAAGTGACCATGGCGGGGTGGAGGGAATTGGGGGGGAGGTGTTGGGGGTTGTCTTTTAAATAGAAACAATAAGTTGAACTTGTATGGAATCTTACTGGATTGTAAATTCTGAGGGCAAGGCTTGCCTTATATATATCTCTTCACTTCTGATATAGTGCTTTGCTTGTAGCAGGTGCTTAATAATTTACTTGAATGAATACATTACATTTATGTAGTTGTTTACAAAGTATTTTCCCCATTCTGTAACCCAGGGAAACTGACCTGGGAGTAGTTACGTGGTATGCCCTAGGTTATTTGGTAGTAGATGGTGGCATCAGGATTACAAGCAAGCTCTGTAGATGGTGACAGCTCATATATGTCACTTGTATGACATTGGGCAAAATGATTCACCTTCGTCAGACCCATTTTCTTTATTTATAATATGGGGCAGTAGAAGATGTATAATAACAGATGCTCCCTTAGGGTCGTTTTAGCAGTCGTGGTCGGTGATCCCATGGTATCCTGACTGTTCAAACCCAACTTGTGCTATACCTGTGAAGGGCCTCACAAAGTGGGGGGGGGGGGGTTTGGTTTTAGAATGTCATATTCAGGTTACAAGGTTTGGAATGAATAGAGTGGGGTAATGGAAATCATTCTGGACTGAGTGTCACCCAGATTTGAATACCAGCTTTGCGACTCCTTACGCCTTGTATGTGTAAGCCTGCCTTGGTAATATGCGGAACCCTCTGCCTGCTATGCACCAGTCTGTGAACCTGGGCACCACCTGTAATTTGACCTTTTTTTATCTTGATGTTGCATAATTCACAGCTGTATAACACCTCACCTCACCCCACCCTCTTCCCCTGTGAAGATATAGATGCTAAACAGATGGGCTTTTATAGTGACATCATTGAAAGAATGCAGGGTTTCTTAGCTGTAATTTCTCTGGTCATTCTGTTCTGGGCTTGTCAGTTTGTCTGTTTGCAACTCCCAGGGTATTTGTACTAACTCGGTGAATTACCAGCCCACATGCACATCTGCATTCTTCATCCACTTTGTTTTCCACAGTAGAAAAATGTGGCTGTGTATTTGAGCAAAACAAATCAACACCTTGTCCATGTCTGTAAAGGGATGTCTTAGAAAACAGAGTGATTTTATTACTACCAACTTGAGCTTAATATTCACTTTAAAAAACTATATAACAGAAGTTTGGGCTTTCTTAGATAATCTTTTTTTGTTCTTTGTATATTAAGATGTTTGTATTTGTTGATGATTGTTTAGTTTGTAATAGAAAAAAAAATCCGCGGCTCATCTCTTGGGTATATTGTATTGCTCAGGTTCTACGGTATTTTTGGGGTCAGCTGTTGTTATTATCATCATTACTGTTACTGTTTGTTTTCATATTGATTTGCTTCTGTCTTTCCTTTCTCAGAGTGACCAGCAGTTGGATTGTGCCTTGGACTTAATGAGGCGACTGCCTCCTCAGCAGATTGAGAAGAACCTCAGTGACTTGATCGACTTGGTAAGTGCCTGGCTTTAGAGCCTTTGGGCCGGCTGGCCGGCCGAGTGTTGTGTGCCTCTGTACCCATCCTTTTACTCCAGGAGCCAGCCTGCTGTGACATCCTTCTAATCAGGGGAGGGAGTTTGGGGCTGGGGAGAAGGGGCTTCATGGAGGGGAAGGTTCCTGAGAAGATGGCCAAGCCCAGCAGGAGCTGCTGCGGCAGGTGAGAGCAAAGGTCAAAGGAGATGTTTGACGAGAGCCTGCCTGGGCCAGAGCCCATCAGCGACACAGAGGCCCGGGGGAGTCTAGCGTTCAAGCTGAGACTTCCTGCTCAGCTGTTGTGGCTGGGCTTGAAGAGTCACGAAGCTGGCCCTCCCGGCCTTCCATCTTCTGGCAACACTGTGCTCGCACTGACTGTTGTTGAGCATCTGGTGTGTCCAAAACAAACTCTTACCCACATGGAGCTTGCAGTCCTCCAGGCAAGACAACTCCCCCCTGTTACTTAATAGATGAAATACTAAAGGCACATGGCCAAATACAACTAGGCAGCAAACTAAGGCAGGCAGTCATTTAACACTCAGTAAGTGTCTAGATCAGTGGCGGGGAGCCTGTGGCCTCGAGGCCACATGTGGCCCTCTGGGTCCTCAAGAGTTTCCCTAAGATGTGTTAAGTGCTGCGAATACAAAGAAGAGCAAATGACGCTCCCTGTCTAATGCAGGAGGCAACACACAAACTATGTACCCAGGATAATGTGGAGATAATCAGCAGGATGAAGGCATTAGCAGCATTGAGAGAGGCTGGGAAAAGCTGCTTGTGGAAGGTGAGATTTTAGCTGGGCCTTGAAAGAAGCCAGAGCATCCGGAAGGGAGAGCATTCCCGGCATGGGGGGTGGGGTGACAAGCAGGGAAAATGTCTACATCTGGAAATGGATTGTCTTGTTGGAGCCGCAGCAGAGAGGCCAGTGTCACTGGATGGAAGAGTATGTGAGGAGTAGGGTGTAAGGTGTAGGATGACTAGAAAGGTCGAGGGGAGCCAGTTTAGGAGGGCCTTGGAATGCCAAGCATGGGATTTTACATTTGATCCTGGAGATGATAGACAGTGGAGCTCGGGGAGGGGGAGCTGCCTGGGGAGTGACGTGGTGGGACCTGCTCTTCAAAACTTTTATGGCTGATTAGAGGGGGGAAAGATTTGAAGCAGCTAGGCCCCAGGGCCCCCACCCCCAGCAGCTATTGTAATAATCTAGGTGATGAGGGTCTGCACCAGGGGGGTGGCAGTGCCAGAGGAGAGAGAAGGGGGCATATTTGGGAGATGTTTAAAGATTCAGAACTGCCCTGCATTGTTACTTTTTTGAAGCAGGGCAGTGTGGTGGGACGGAGTATTACAAGGTACACATCACAAGGATATTTTCCCTGTTTTTATAAACCAGGAAACTGAAACTCGGGAAAGTTGGGACTTATTCAAGATTGTACAGGTGGGTAGTAAGCATCAGAGCCAGTGTTGTTCTAGTAATCCATGTTGCCTCATATGAGTAAATAGTGTGTACTAATTAAGTACCTATTGTGTGCTAGGCACTGTGCTGAGCTCAGGAGTTACAAAGAGAGGCATGAGGAGCTCTCAGTCTAGTTGGAGGAGACATTATGCACAGATAAGCCCTAGATAAGGTCAGTTGGAGGAAAGGCCTTAGCATTGGGGGGGATCAGGAAAGGCTTCCTGTGGGTGGCAAGATTTTAGCTGGGACCTGCAGGAAGCCATAAGATGGAGCTGAGCAGGGAGAGCACTGCAGGCATGAGGGCCAGCCAGAGAAAACACCCAGCATCAGCAGGTGAAGTGTCTAGTTTGAGGAAGAGCATAAACCAGGAAATGTGCTCTGGGCTCTCCTGGCCTCAGCTGGAAATGAAGGCCAGCTAGCCTAGCCATTCCCTACTTCATAGGAATGCTATGAAGGTGAATGAAGAATGGGAAACTCTTGTTTGTCCAGAATGGCTGGGCAACAGGGCACCTCTTCAATCACATGCTCCTGTTAACTGGAGGTCCCCACAGACCTTCTACCTGGACTGTAAGTTCCTGAAGAATGTGAGAAGTCTTGGACTGTGTTGGGCACATTTTTAACATCAGTTTAGAAGGAACTCCAGGATCTTGTCAATTAAATACAAAGTGTCAGTTTAGGAGGGAGGAGGGAACATGGAAAAAAATAGACCGTTGGTAGGGATGCAGTGGGGACAGATTTGAGCTCCAGCTCTGCCCTAGGCCGTCTTGGTGACCCTGGATAGAGCGTTTCACCTCTATGGGCCTCACTCTCTTTATTTACAGAATGAGGAAGCTAAACTAGCTTTGTCCTTTCCTCTCAAACAGTCTGTGTCCTAAGGGCCCTCCCAGCTCTGACATCCTGTGTCCTAAGGCCCCTTCCAGCTCTGACAGCCTGTGTTCTAAGGCCCCTCCCAGCTCTGACAGCCTGTGTTCTAAAGGCCCTCCCAGCTCTGACATCCTGTGTCCTAAGGGCCCTCCCAGCTCTGACATCCTGTGTTCTAAGGGCCCTCCCAGTTCAGACATCCTGTGTTCTAATGGCACTTCCCAACTCTGACACTCTTGGTTCTAAGGCCCCTGCTCAGCTCTCATTTTCATAGATGTGTGATTCTAAACAAATTGTGCTCAGTCTCTATTGACAAGCCAGTATAGAATATAATCTTTTTCTTTTATTCTCAGTCATCAATGTCATTATAACTAAACTCTGGTTATTTGAGCTCCCTGTCTGTTTGATGTTGGAGTTAATGGGTATTTACTGTATTTGTGAGCAGGATTGTTGCAGTTAAGTCCGTCTGTAGTTTGTTTCTCTTGAATATTCCCCAGTTTACAAGTTGATGAGTTTTCCCTGAATTCCAAGAGATGGTTGGAAACCCAGAATAGAAGCCTTCGTTTCACGTACCCAGTGATTAGTCTGATGTTGTAGAATTAGGTAAACTATTTTGTGCAGATTCTAAGCATTCCTTCCATGCACACCTGCCCCAGATAATGAAGAGAACATTGTTTTCACAACAACAAAAATGCTAGCGTTTTTTAGACTGACCAGAAGTTTAAGGATTTGCCAACATTCTCCAGAAAGGAAGTGGCATTCCTTAGATCTCTTTGCCAGGGAGCTGTAGGGGAATTTATCAAGCCTCACTGTAGATGAGTACTGAAGAGAAACACTTAGCCAGGCTTGGGCAGGCTACTTTCCCGGACCATACCTTTCTTTGCTTGATCTGGTTTTGCTCTTTTGTGTAGTCTTAGATCCTTGGGAAGCTTTAAGGGTTACAGAGTATTTTCACATATATTTCCATTCATCTTCAGTGGAGCCCTGGCAATATTGTCCCTATTTTACAGTGGAGGAAACTGAGATTCCGAAGTGACTTGAGCACCTTAGAAAGTCAGCTGGGGCCAGATTAGAGACCCTGCCTGCTCCATCCTGCTGGGGCAGCCTATCCAGATGGAAAGAGTGGGCAGGCATGCTTGGACCCAGATGTCTTTGAGCAAGTCACTTCCCTTTTGTCTCTCAGTTTCTTCAGTTGTCAGATGGGGCTAGTAAGGTTTTTTTTTTCCTTAATGGAAACCTGGATGCTTTTACTGTTTTGACAGCAGAGAACAAACAGGGCCCACAGGCCAGGACTTCTGGCGCAGCGATCCATGACCCTGTCCCCTTAGCACGTAGATGGGGCGTGAGAAATATGTCCTTGATTTGATCTGCAGCCAGTGGAGTGGCCTCTGTCCTGAAATTTGGACATCCTGAGCAGGGGTACACACAAGGCGGCAGCTCTTGCACTTGTGAAGTACTTTGCAAACCAAGAGGGCCTGAGTAAATACCAGGTACTTATGGTCCATCTGTCTGTGTGTTGGTGCACTGTGGTGGGCTCTGTCAATGCTTAAGTGGTCTCAGAAATGAATGTGTAGCTTCTTAGTCCAGGAGGCTGGTGAGCAGAGACTTGTGGGAGAAGGTCAAAGTCGGAAAAGCCAGAGGAGCCTCTTCAGCTCTCAGACGTCTTTGACCTCCTCTGGCATCTCTCTGTTTGCTGGCAGGGTGAGGCAGATTTTGGCAGAGCTTATATTGGAGCCCATTAGCATTCCTCCAGTCCGTCAGTCCTTTGCCTTTTAAAAGCAAACCAAAAATAGCCTTAAATCTGCTTATCTGCTCAGAAAACCTTCCTGTGTGTACAGGTTGGCAATTTCCGTGGCTTCCCCAGTGACCCTGAGGCTTGTCCTGTCCCCCAGGCATCCTGGTTTTTCCTGTAACTGGGAGTAGAATCAGAGCAGCCTGGTACTCCTATTCTGTCCTTTGTGGGAAGGGTCCTTTGGAGGAAGCGTTTATGGGCATACGTCTGAGGTGGAGCAGATGTCCTGACACTTTGACCAGGCAGCTGATAATTTGATCTGTAATGGTCTCAGCATATTCCTCGTTTAGTAGCGGGAGGTCCCCTCCTGAAATAGAAAGGGCAGGCCTGAGCACAAGCTTTGTATGGTCAAGCTGAGTGCAGAACATGCTCCCGGACGCTTAGGATGGGATATCGTCACAGAAGGTGGCCCCGTCCTTTGTTGGCACAGCACTTAACCGCCTAAAGGTCGTTCCTTATTCAAGGGTCTGCTCAGTTTGGGGTGGTTAGTCCCCATTTAGATCAGAAAAAAGAGAATGAGATGGGGATTGTAAGAGTTAGAATGGGAGGAGGGGATCTTGGGGACCTTCTAGTCAGTTCTCAGATATGGAAATGGAAGCCCAGTGATGTTCAGTGACTTGCTTAAGCTCACACAGCTTGGAAATGGCAGGGCCAGTATTTGAACTCCAGACACTACGTTCTTCCCATATTCCCATGGCACTGTTATTTGGGAGGAAGCTGATTATGGGGTAAAAGGGCCCTGAATTGGAAATTGGACTATTTGGGTTTGAGCCTAGGCCTGCCTTTGAGCCTCAGTTTCTTTGTCAACCCTGATGATAAATTCACAACAAAAAGGTCTGTTAAGGACTGGAGCTTTGGCAGAATTCTAAGCACCCTGCA